CTATGTAAATATTATTTCTGTATATATTTTTTCACGGCTATAAAATTTAGCTTGTGCCTTTAAGCCGATTAGAATTTTTCTAATCAAGATTTGCCGAACTGTAGAAACAACTCGAAACTTTAGCAAACACTATTTTACTAACGTTTTAAACTATGAACACGAACAAAGTGCCCATTCCTTTATAGCTAATTTGTTAAAAAAAAAGTCTCTTGGAAAAAGCAGTTGTAAGAAGAGTTGCGAGAATTGAGGAATTGAGAACATTTTTAAGAAAAAAATTAATATGAACACTGGTTCTGAAAAATTGTCCGTTATGAGAACTAAAACTAGTTTCATATTTCAATTCTCTAGCTAAGCTCCCGTATTAAATAATGTTTGCGATGAGAACAGAGTAAGCTGAACACATACCTCCGTATACAGGGTAGCCCATCGACAACGTACCGCAAGGCATTACAGGGTAGTAATGAACTTTTCGGCAAAATCCAAAAACAGGTAAAGTTTGCTTCTGAGGGGGACAACTTTTGGCGCAAAAAGCATAGCAAAATCTTCAACCCCCTAAGTGGGGGTGCCATCCCCCAAATTTTTTTAAATGGGAATGGGGGTCAAGTGGGGGGTCATTAGAAAGGGCTTTTAATTCTCTATACATCGATTCTTACTTTTTGAAAATCGATCCATTATTTTAGAAAATATGCAGCTTTGAAAATACGAACAATATTTTTGACGAGAAATGCGAAAATCGATTTAATTTTACTTCAAAACTTACGGTATTAGCTTGGTAAATTCCTTCAAAAGAATTCTTTTTTTTTTTCTGATTTGCGAATTCTTTAGCCTGATTTTGGTGAGCAAAAAATTGTCCGCTTTTTGTTTCGTATTTAGATAGGCCACAAGAAGTTGCTAGATAACTGTCTTGTGACTTGTAGTTGAAGAGTACCAATACTGCCGAGTCTTTTAAATTGATTAATTATGGTGTACTCAATTCCAGAAAGAGTAGAAATTATTGAGCTTTTTTTCAAAAACAATGAATGCGGAAATCGGGTCGCCGAACTGTTCAACCAACGGCATCCTGAGAAACATGCGTCTGGAAAAATTGTTCGCGAATTGGTGGCCAAATTTCGCGAAACTGGCTCCGTTCATAACAAAAAGAGGCAGGTTGAAAATCCGGTACTAAATGAACCTACGGAAATAGCGGTATTGGGGCAAGTGGCAATGGATAGTACGCTGAGTACAATGCAATTGGCTACTGCGACAGGAGTGAGTCGTACAAGTGTCCAACGAATATTAAAAAAATACAAATTCCATCCTTATAAGATTCGGCTAGTGCAAGAGCTAAATGAAGACGATTTTGATCGTCGTTTGCAATTTTGCGAAATAATGACTGAACGAGCGATAAACGATAATTTCCTCTTTAATGTGTGTTTTTCGGACGAGTGTACGTTCTTCTTGAATGGTTTAGTGAATCGCCATAATTGTCGTTACTGGGCTGATACCAATCCAAGGATTTTCCATGAGACACACTCCCAACACCCCCAGAAGTTGAATGTATGGGCAGGTATTTTTGGAAATTCCATTGTAGGTCCTTTTTTCCTTCCTGGAAATTTGACAGGCGATATGTACTTGGATTTACTACAAAATGTCATCGACCCAGCTCTAACAAATATCATAGAGGACGACCCTGCTTACAATGAACACGAACTGATTTTCCAGCAAGACGGAGCTCCTCCACATTACTCGCTCAATGTGCGCAATTACCTAAATGAGACGTTTCCAGGACGCTGGATAGGACGAAGAGGTGCAATTGAGTGGCCCCCTCGGTCACCCGACTTAAATCCTTTAGATTTCTTTCTCTGGGGGCACATTAAAAGCAAAGTTTACAGCACTCCACCTGATACCTTGGAAGATCTGCGAGGACGAATCATTAATGTATGTCGCGAAGTAACACCGCAAGTGCTCCAGAATGTTCGACAACGGTTTGAAGACAACCTGTATCATTGTATGCAAGTTGGCGGACAACATTTTCAGCATTTACTTGACTAATACCGTAAGTTTTGAAGTAAAATTAAATCGATTTTCGCATTTCTCGTCAAAAATATTGTTCGTATTTTCAAAGCTGCATATTTTCTAAAATAATGAATCGATTTTCAAAAAGTAAGAATCGATGTATAGAGAATTAAAAGCCCTTTCTAATGACCCCCCACTTGACCCCCATTCCCATTTGAAAAAATTTAGGGGATAGCACCCCCACTTAGGGGGTTGAAGATTTTGGTATGCTTTTTGAGCCAAAAGTTGTCCCCCTCAGAAACAAATTTGACCTGTTTTTGGATTTTGCCGAAAAGTTCTTTACTACCTTGTAATGCCTTGCGGTACGTTTTCGATGGGCTACCCTGTATATACACCTAACAAATATATGTATTGATTTATATCATCTGGCAACTGCCCACATGCACGGGCATAATACACTTTCCCAGCTAGGCGCTGTTACGAAACAGACTACAAAATAAAACAAGGAAAACGACCTGTTGTGCGGCAGAGCTTTTCGTTTGGCTTTAACACGTATACATTCGAACGCATTACACTTTAATTAACTTCGATGTTAACAGTGTATTTTGCAGTCGTTTTTATTAACGATGTTTCGCAAAATAATGACCGACGATTAGCAGTCGCGCGAAGTTACGACCGAATATCTTCTACCAGCGGTAATGCCGAACAACAATTACAATTTAATTCGGTGTGGTGTTGCAAGGTGGGTTTTTAGGGATCGAAAAGGTGCAAGTCGAATCGCTTGTTATATCTTCAAGCGCAAGAAGCCGCCGGATGCTTTATTGCTAATGTGTCGGAGATTCACTGGAAACCTTCGTATCGAAAATGATAGGTAGCGTGTAAAAAACAACGTTGGTATAACGATAACAAAGTTATGTATATTATAAGAAAGTTGTAGTACTTTTAAGGGCCGTGCTGATATTTAAAGCACGAAGATTTTTCATGAAAGTATTTCCTGAGGAGTTGTTTTGTCCGTACCAACCTTAAAACCAACAATAAAAACCGAAATGAACGTCAAAGCGGGCCTAGGGGTTCTGGTGGCAGGTCCGCCCCCACAGAGATTAGTCCGAGAACAATAAAAACAACAACAGCCCAAAAAACTTGTACCATAAATTTTAAAAAGTTAGGAAACTAGAAACGCCTCTGGATGATGTAATTTTCACAGCTCACTAGACTAAATCTTTTTCTTTTCTTCCTTTGAACAATTTAGGCACTGTAAACGTTACAGTTTTTAAATTTTCAGTTATTTATAGGAAAAACGGTCCTATGAACATATTAAATTTGAGCCCGAATGGTAAAGAACCTTACTTCAAAAAAATTAGAACCTAAAATGTAATAGGAATGTAGTGTAACTAGCGCCCTCTATGAAATATCCAAAAAATAATTAGACTAGCGTATTTGGCGTCCTTAAAAACCCCGAAATACCAAATTTCATATTGGAAATTTTCGTACAAATTCTATTTAAAAAATTTTATTTTGTCGCTCTGTATCTCGAAAACATATAGTTCATAAGACAAAAAATTCTTATTTTTTGTCGTACTATCACCCCCTGAATTTACGAGAGGTCTTTCTGAAACATCCTGTATAACGGGAACCAGAATGGAGAGTTTATTTGAATTTGGTTTTGAAAAAGTTCAAATTAGTTTTGCTAAGATAATCTGTGTTTACCTTTCAGGAGATATGGAAAAAGTAGATATTTTGTTAGGGCTAATCAATTTAGACTTATAGCTAAATGATATTTCCCTCAGTGTATCAGATAATAATTTTGATAGCCTTGATCGTGGGTAAGGGTTTTTAAAATATATTTTGTTAAGAAAAAACTGAAAGAAAACTTAAGAAATTTTTTCAAGTTTCGAATGTAAATTTTTTTAGTTTAATTAAAAAAAGGAACAAAACTTTTATTATTTAAGTCCAGCCATTTCCGAACGAATTACAAATGAAATAACAGCAGCAGATAAATGCAAACCGTGAAATTAAAATTGTTATACTTAATGCAGTAGAGAGCTCTGAATCTTAAGAATTGTACTTATTTTGACATCTCTGACCAACTGTGACCTCCATATAAAAATTTTAGTATGTGCAACACCGATTGATCTGATAAATCATATAAATAGAATCTTAATACCGCCAGTGTTTTTGAACATATACTTTATGCAATTAAGTTTAGTTTAAAATGTGAAATTAATATTATTCGTTAGGTTTCATAGCCTTCTTCTTGATTAAGTATAAGAATTTTGTAATTAATATAATTATTTTCACGAGTTACCTGTGGTTGTTACTTCTTTTGAAATTTGTTCGAAAATGGTTGTTCCTAGCACAGTTTGGAAAAGTAAAACTTTTCAGATTTTTATTGAAATTTTAGGAACTTGCTTTAAAAACTTAGTGAAGGGCCATTTTTTTTAATCAATATGCGTTGTAATATACCATGATATAAAAAATGATAATTGATATTTCAGAAATTAGATTTTCTTAGTTCGATCATAATCCCATCCTCATTTTTCTTCCCCTGTAAATTTAACAGAAATTTAATCATTTGGAAAATTATTATCTAAATATGTTCTACCCTCCTCCCCCCAACCCCCTTCCGCCCGCCTTCTGCAACCAGAGATGATAATGTCACTAGGATCGTTCTTCGCCTCGGTTCTAGACCGGCTGGCATGCCATTAAAAAGTTTATGTGCTAAATAACCACTCTCGTACTTGTCTGTCAGCAGAACGATTTAATAATTAATTTAAATTTCAATGTCACGTAATAATTATGCAGTTATTTTAATTGAAAATTAACATTCATAGTTTAGAGATTTCCTTTATGTAAGGCAAATATTATTCATAGAAGTACGCGAGTACCTGCCATTTTACAATGTATAAACATGTTTATTTTGACATAGTAATGTTATGATTCCTTCTGTCTGCACGTTATTTCACAGAAGTATTAAGTATATGTACAAGGAATATTGAAAAACTTACCTCCTCTGACAACTTGTGAAAACGCAGCCAGCACTAAAATGATTAAAGCCGGCCCTGGCTCTTTCAGTTGAGTCCACGCCGACATGGCGCGTCCTGGAAAAAGAGATAAAAAAATGTTAATAACATGCAAGACTGCCATTGGTATACAAATGAACGTAGACAATATAGAAATGTAAAATAAATAGGTACTGGATCTTCAACTCCCAGCAGAATTGTAATTTATCGGTTATTATGAACGAAATGAACTATACGAAATATTAAATATTAATAGATAAAAAGAGTGTAACGGAAAAATATGTTTTAATGCTACACAAAACGCTGACAAACTTGTAACTGTACATCGTGTCCAATAAATATTATACGCTTGGCTAAGTCTGACCATAAAATTTGGCCGATGCCGATATAAACAAATAATTTACAAAAGATACACGTAACCAAAAAATTCCCTAAAAAACTTGTTTATGTAAAATTGGTACAGTGGGCATACATGTGGGTAGGAACATCATAGAGTCCAGCAAAAACGCATCTCCAAGAACATACAATCGAGTTCATAAGACTTGGAACAGAATTGGAACGAGTACAAAAAAGAATACGCAATTTTGAACCAATGGCTTTGAATAAAGTTGTATTTTATTACCATCAGTACAGAAACAGGAACTGCTTTAAGTTTCAAGTTCAATATTTGAATAATAACTACTACGTAGGCATATTTTATGTGCAAATAATTTAAATTCGTAAAATATTAGCCAAGGTTTTACCTTAACCTTAAAAATCTTGTCTAATCGTATGAATCTGTAGCAGAAAATTATTTAAATGCAACATATTTTGTATATTAATAACAAAAAGACAACCGTTTGGTCTATAAATGCCTACGTACAAAGGTGACAAAACGGCGTCGCTTCATTTAAATTTGCGCGTTACAAATGACGCAACGTTTGGACTTATTTTTCTGTGTGAAAGGTAACGACCACGATAAATCGGGAAAGATTTAATACTTGAATTCTTTCATGCGTAACAAATTTACATATTCGTAAGCGTATGTGCGTGGTATCAAATTACAATAAAGTTCAGTGAATCCTCGATTTTATTTGCGCGTGGGTCGATCGACACCGATTACCGAAAGCTTTGAAACAATTATTACTCCACTATATGGTAGTTTTACCACAGAGCAATTAAACGCGATGATTTATTCAATGATAAATATCAAGTTGGTTTTGAAACGGGTAATTAGACGAAATTATCCTATTCCAACCTTTACTTTTTCATTGTTAATTAATTTTGTTTGGTCCGCAAAAAAAATTACGATTCGTTGCCTTTTAATTTGATGTAATAGCTGTCTGCAAGTTTATTAAGACTATTTGTTATCCAAAACTGACGCAGTCACAAACATATTAAAGTTAATATTATCTGAAAAAATTGCCGTGGAATATTCGTGTCCTTCCGAAAAGGATAATTAACGTTTGCTTGATTGATGGTAATTGCATGGTTACTGAACATCAAGTGTATAAAAACAAACGTCCTAAAATGCAGTACTCTTGTTCCTGTGGAGTATTTATTAATTTAATTCTACACTGCAGAAAATGAAGGTAATATTCCAGTCCATTAGCTGAAATTGTCCCTATATTACATATAGTTTCTATTAATTGTGCATCACGATACCGGCAAACGGCGTATTCATTTCGGTTCATCCTAATTTTTTACGCATGTTTTGATTTGTGTCGTGCCACATTTTTTCGTCAAATTTCATTTTATTTGCTTTCTGGTAAAGTTATGATTGTATTGAAAAAAAATTCCAGTTCATTCATTATAACAATTTTGTTATAACATTTTTTGCTTTAAAGTAGTTTCAGATTCCCTTATTTATTTCGACACATTTCTTACAAAAAGTAACAAGAAAATACATAATTGTATTTGCAATTGAAAAAAAAAGCTTTAAAATATTAAAATAAAAAATTAATTAACCTACCCTTCCCTTAAAAAAAACTGGGGGTTGCTGCACCACCACATAATCAAAAAATAAACAAAACCCTTTGTAATATGCTCCATTGAAAATAAAAATGAAAGTGTTTCAGGAATTTTCGACAAACATTTATTTATTAAGTTACAGAATTTGATCCAGTTAAACTTTTCACTCTGTATTTAAGCTTTCACTGCAAGTTTTACATATTTCAAGTAGTTTTGCCGAAAAAAACATACATAAAAATGTTTTTTCGGTTCATTTAACATGTAATACAGTTACACCAACCGAAAAATTACAAATTATTTTTTGCTTTATAAAAAAGTATGGGTTATATTTCATTTTAATTTGTGCCAGTCCTAGATTTCAAATAGCGTCTAACCTAATAAATTATTTGATCCAGATTTAGCTTATGCAATTTTTGCACTCAAGTAAGTTGAAATTAAGAACAATGAAGTTTAAATTGCATAAAGTAAACAATGAAAAAAATTGAACCTTATTAACGGTGACTGTCGGTAATGAGAAGCTATCGAAATATTCTCATCGTTTATCCGAAGCAAACAAGAACCACCCAACTTTCTTAATTAGTTAAAGAGACTACGAAAACACCGTTTCCATTTAACCTATTAGCTCTTTCATAGTAATATATTTGTTTGTCTGTAAATTCGACAAATGGACAAATCATAAATATGTCCCGAGAATGGGCTCGTAACACCTTGAGCAAACTGGCCTCAGGCCGCCATCACGGTTCCCATGGAATCTTATTTACAAGGGTCTACCCTCGAGTAAATGTTTGAATTTTAACTTAAGTCTTAGTTAAATGTGAGAGGAACTGCAAACGATGTGTGTCTTCTTCAAACAAGGTGTTACTGAAAAACCTTTCTTACACCAAAAGGCAATACTCGTTGGTTACTGTACTTTTCGATGTTTCCTTATGGACTTAAAATTGACAGGCCAGTCTCGTATTTCTCTTATAATCATTCTAAAATATGTAACGCTACTCAACATTTATCTGTTTATTGCCCAACTTATTATATTCTAATTACATTACAACCGTTTTCTTAAATCAAGAATAATATATTTATTGTATACACGCAGAGAAATATATCCTTGACGCTTATTTCAACTAAATAAAATTTCTTCACTTAAAACAACTTTTCCTTGATGGAAGACATTTTACTTAGTTTAAGATTGTGGTATATAAATATCAAGAGTATATATCTTGCGTACATACATATACAATATTATTTTTGATTTAAGAAGTCTTTTTATATGTATGTGTTATGACTAATGAAAATTTAACAATATAATTTCAGTCGATTAACCTTAAATGTTACAAAACCATATGAGCTATATAAATATTAAACAATATCTACAAATACACTACAACAATCGGTGTGAGCGAAAGCAACAAAAGTACACTCAATATTGATCATTTTGATAATTTTACTCATTTGTAATAATATTTGAACCAAAATAGAGTACTTTTACTCAAATATAGGTACCCGTTAAATAAATTCTGCAGATAAACTCGTATTTGATGCATTTGAAGCTAAATCTAATTTTATGGTTGTCGTGCGTTGTCTTTGTCTATTTCCATCGTGCATTAGGTCTTCTCGTGGCGATACTGACTCTTATAGAGGTGTGCTGTTAAAAACATATACTTCCAAAGTAGGATACATTAGATCGAAATGAAACATATATGCTTTTAAATAATAAATCGCAATAATCTCGCTAAGGATCATTATTTTTCTATTGACTCTGAAGCACATTGCAAGAGACAACTGATTTTTTTTTTATATTAAGAGAAATGTTAATTCTGTTTTTGCAAAAATTGCACTTTTTTGAAAAATCACCTCTAATGACACGAAAAGGTAACTACTTGCAAACTACTACCTAGGAGACAATGAATTTTAACAGTAATTTTTTTAATTTTTTTCTTATTTCAGTTAATATAATCAATAAAATTTGAAAAAAATATAATTTTCGGAAAATGTCACGGACATTTTTTCTAGATAGATTTTTTCATATTATTAATTGTGTTTTGTCAGCCACAGCTTCATGATTCTGTATTTTTTTCCTTTAAAACTTTTGTTTATTTTCTATTTCTTACTCTGAATTGGCTACCTATTTAAATAAATTAGTTTATCGGTAAGTTTATTATTTTTTTGGATCAACGTCTAGTCAAATAACCTACCTACCCCTAAATTGCATAATCATGTACTTTGTAACAATGCACGTATACTTGTTCATAAAAAATTAACATTAATAACAATTAAGGCAAGGTCTTCGACACAAGCATCTAAAAAAATATTAATATATGCATCATTTAGGAGCAACAAGTCGACCTTTGCAAATGACAACATTGCTCGAAAGAAATTCGGTATCTGGTATGCCCACACAGCGTCTACTTTCGTTGAGTTCGTTACTCACTTCTTGAATGTTTATTATGTCAGATATCGAGGTCTGACTAATTCAGGTTAATAGTTCTTAATGCAAATAATGTAGACCTGATAGGTGTGAATTAAGTTTTCAAGCGTAAATACTTATATAAATAATAAATCCATTGTTATGTTCGAAATGTCAGCAGTTCTGCGTTTTTTGTGCGACCAAAATTACTTGCAGATATATATTTGTAGAACGTTCTTTTATGTAAGTAAATCAAATCTGTCGACTTTTCGATATGCATTCAAAGTTAATTGATTTATTTCTTTTATTTGCGTTTTTTGGACTACAAAATACTTAATTGAAATTCACAGTGATTTATGTTCACATTTCGTTCTTCACCACGACACTTGACAATTATATAATAAGATTCTCAAGTGTTAGGTATGATTTCACTACATTTTAACCGCATTTCGTCCCTTAACAAATTTTCTGCAGTTCGGTATTTCAGAACACCCACAATGTGCTTAGACGTCAAGAGATTCTATTGAATTGTAAATGAATCTTAGGCGGATATGTACGTTTTTCTCGAGGTGGCATAAAAGGAAAATAAAGATAATCCTCGCGCGACATTTATTCTTGTCACACGTTACAAGTACGGTACAATGCCTGTTATATCTTTAGATATCTCCATATTGAGCGTTCGATTGCAACAGCTTTTTGTAGTTTACTGCCTCGCGGGAGATTCACA